TAATGAGACTACGGATAGGAAAGCAAGTGTGTTGCCCATGACTTTAATGTGAAATGACGATTGTTTTTCGCAAAAAGAGATAATGATAAATATACTCACAATTTAGAACTTTTACTTGACATTTGTTGAGAGACATTTGTTTGCCTCTCTGCTGTTTACTGCTTTATTAGAATAATAATGTTGAGAATTATCGGAAAGTAATTCGCTTATTGATCTAATCAGTATATTTTTTAAAATTTTTAGATACTTTAGCAAATTATTTTTTCCGTGCATGACACGTAAAAGAATTCCGCAAATGAAAAATGGGTTCTTTTGATTTATTTTCAATATTTAGAAAATAAATTATCTATTGAAAATGTTGATGTTTAACGAGTTTTGGTTATTATTGTGCTCGTTTGCAATGAATGAATTAATGCTCCCTTGAGAAATAGAATGACATTTCTTTTCACAGAATAATGGAATTGCTAGTTTTGCAATTTTTACGCAAGTCTACACAATTGTATTGAATTTAATGAAATAATATTGAACTTTTATAAATCATATTGACAAGGGTAAAAAGAAAATACCTAGTACAATAACCCTTTTTTCTATTCTGAAGTCATTAAACTTTCGATTTGTAGACCGTTATAAGTATTTGTAGAACTATATATACTGTATATAAGTGTTAAGATGAAGGTTTATTTGAAAAAACACTCAATTTAGTGTCATTTCGGATCGTTAATGCTTAGTTCGATGTATTTTTTCGTAAGGGATGAATATTGGAATATACATTTTATATACATATCGAATACTTATTTTGTAATTTTTAAAATTAAAACTTAACCCTTCCATCAATCACGTTGATAAGAACAATCAAAAAGAGAAAATTTTTTCTTCTGCTCTGAAGTCAACTTAGATGTTTGCGTATTCTATTTAGAATTCTACTTATTTTTAAACATACTGTATATGTTTATTTTTTCTAAAGAATTTTGCGCAAAATGAGAATTACAAGTAGTTAAATGTCATCTTATATGTATATATTATTGAGTACGTCACCGTTTCCATATGGAAAATAGTTTTATGTTCTAAGTTAAAAAGCAGAAAAAGTTAGTTTAATTAAAATTATTACTTATTATTCACTAGTTAATGAAATTTTGAAAATCCGCTGTTAAATAGTAAAATAGTCGAGATTCTCTCTATTTCTGTAGTATTTATATTTTAAATAATATTATTACTGGATGTTTCAGACCACCCACTTATATACCCTAAAAACGAGAGAAATGGTTATTTTGAAAAATGTTTCAAAGAGACAAAAGTTGAGGATTAAGTAATGCATTACATAGGCATATTGATAGCAAGGTCATGTCGAGGTCGACTTGAATTTTTTAAATGAGAACCCATATCTTTCATTGCATATTCTTATAGCTGACAAGACATTGGTTACAAATCCTTTTTAGGATCTTCCTGAGCCTTCAAAATTTCAGTACCGCGTTAGCATTATCCAAGATGTATCGCGTAAAAGTCACACGGTCATTTACACTTTTTCGGGGTGCTTGATTGAGAATCCGAATAAATATAGATTCAAATAAATAAAGATTTGAGAAGTTCTGCCGATTTTATTTCGGAGAAAATGCCTGGTGTCATATATATTATAAGCAAATTCTCACTATTTTTATATAGAATTTGGGAAGAAGAGCAGGAAAAATAAATAACAATATTTGTCTTCAGTTCTATAGATTTCAAAAAATGTTAATATCTCACATATCTCAAGTTAATTTAGTGCCAATTTCCGCAAGTTATAATAATAATAATGCAATTAGATTACTCAAGTAAAAATATTTATTTGTAATTTATTTTTATTTTGCAAGTTATAAAGATTTATACACCAAGAGGCAATAAATTTTTAATCTTTTCTTAGATAGGATATTAAATTTAAATTTGGAGCTAATTATATCTCATTACACATATGTCTTCTTATACGAAACTTCCTTTTCCAAATTATGTAATTTCTTTTGTCCATGTTTATTTAATTTATTATCTGATAAAAAAAGATATTCTCATCTAATCAATTTCAAAATACTATTACGTACTCGAGATATCCAGAGGTGCTTAATTGTGCAATGCGTGCATAGTACATAGATAAGTCAAAAACAAAATAAAAATTTATTAAACATAGATTTGGACGAACAAATACGATGAAATCGTAGCTTCCTGAATTAGCGTCTTTATTAAAATTATTTTCCTCTGTTGTTCATCTGTATCAATATATATTAATTTTACTTTCTTATATATTCATTTTTACGAATGTAGATTAACTGTAATCGTGATTCGATTTACTTTTTCTGAACCTAAGAAATAAAATTAAAAAAAAAAAAAATACGATTTAGCACGATTCCTTTTTTAATTGATTTCTACATAAAAAGCTGAAATAACTATACACATATGTACATTTCTGGGGTAGCAAAATTATTATTACACGCGGGCGGCCAATTCTTTTTGCACGTTTATATTTAGTATAATCTGCAGTAGAC